CCCCAAAACCCCAAAACCCCAAAACCCCAAAACCCCACTAAGCAATTTTTAAAGGTTAAGTTTTATTTTATAAGATAATCTTTCTAATAATTTGTAGTAATTGTTTCTAATGATTGAGTCTGATTATGAAGTTAACTTAATCCAAAAGCATTTTGTATTTTGTAAATATATTTCATCTGGCTCTTAGACTGTGTCTCTATGACATTGCTCTAGTTGCTTCATGTCTCACATATCTCCTTCTACCCTAGTGAGTCAGCACAGATTTCCTAAGCAAATCCTTTTTATGGGAGATCTGATCTTTTATCTTCTAACACTCTTCAATGTTAATCCGAATTGATTCGGATGTTTAAACCTATCCAGTTCTTCTAGCCAGATTTTCTTCATTACTTCGGCAAAGAGGACAGCTAGATTTTTCCTTAAACCATTCCTTAACACAGTTAAAATGGAAAATGTGGTCTTTATTACACTTTAGCTAGACTACTATATCAAAGAACTTTATCTAGTCAAGGCAGATGATGCAATCAAGTGAGTCCACTGAATTCTCAGAATGCATGAAAAGTTTGTTATACTCTAGCTTTGCTTTATCTGCCTCTTTCACAAGCTTTTAGCGCTTTAAGATATCTCGATGCATTTCAAGCTGCTCAATTTCAGTTAAAATCTATTCATTTTCTAAATTCTGCATAAAACTTTGCTACTACAAGTTGAACTCTTCCTATTGTACTCTTGCAAGTTCCCTCTATCTCTTAAGCTCATCTTAACTATATTAAATTAAGCATAAATCTGCTAAGAGATATTCTTACCAAAAGCAGTTCATGAATAGTATTATGAAAAACATCTCCATTAGCATAGATGGATAATTTATCAGATAGAAAGTACTCTATGCTATTATAAATGATAAGCTAGTCCTTGCCTATAGTTTAAAAAATATCTAAGAACCTTTTGTAATGTGTGATATCGTATGGTTTTGGCTAGATAATGTTTCAACCTAATTCTCTTGTATTTGCTGATTGTTGTTATCTTCTAAACTATTTTAGTTCTCAATATAGGCCAGGCTATAGTATTTAACATACACTGATGTAAAGAATACTAAAAATATCAGCGCCATTAGATGGATAGCAAAGATAATAAAGGTCTTTTTACAACTATTCATAAATAGGATTTGGTTTTCCATTTTGTTATTGCTGAATATTTTCTTTAAATGCTATTAGAAGGCTGATCTGTATCCAAGAATAATAGATTGCATCACCTAAGCGATACCCATTAAGACTAGGTAGATTATAATGAGAACTTTATAAACCACAGGAACATTTTCATCTTAGAAGTCCATGAAAATATAGGTTAATAGTATAGGAATCGTCATAAAAGCAATGAACACATTGAGGATCAAATGGATCCCAAAAAATACATTTGTTATCAATATTTTCATATTTAAATCTCGAAATTTACTCTAATCATTCGAACTTTTAATTTTTAGGCTCATGGGGTTTTGGGGTTTTGGGGTTTTGGGG